CATACCATACCATACTATACCATACCGTTACATTACCATAAATACAAAGCATTACTTGATTACACACATTATTTGCGCACATCAATTACGTACATTAACTACATACATGCATTACATACATGAATTACATAAGTTACATATTAGTTACTATACATTAATTACATACATTACTTACATAAATTACACTACATTACACTACAGTACTTTACATTTACATTTGCATACATATAAAATACATACATACCGTTCTCCCAGCCTGGGTTCTGAACCTCACGCATCCCGGCCGATCGTTTGGGACGTTCGCCTTTTTCGCCGATTCCTTGTGACACATCCCGATTCCGGGGGTGGCCCGGCCAAACTGGACCGAACGCCACTGGGGCCGACGACGCGTCGGCTAGCAATGCCACTGGTGATATCCAGGGAGCAGTTACACTGAACTCCCGTTGGATGATGTTGGATGAGTCAAGAAAACACATGAACACACCACACAGAAAACCTGAACATGGGTTATTGTAGGTGGTTGTGGAGGAATCCACAGAATTGCAGTGCTCCTCCCACCAAAATCATTGACACAGATTCACGCTCTTAATCCCAGAATGGCTTTCATCACAGAAACCATGTAGACGGCACAAGTGCATTCTGCAGAAACAATTGTTGGTAAACCCGCATCCCAAGAAGCAACATAAACACACCAGAGCAGCGGGTATGAGTTGTTGGACTCAGCACCACTGATGCCCATCGTGCTTCACAAAGCTAGCTAGTCAAGTCTGAGTCTGGGCTGGGCTGCCTTCACAAGAGATGTCTTCAGCCCACATATGCTCCACGGGGTTGATGTCTTCCTTCTCGGGAAAGATGAAGCTTAATCTAAGAAAGGCTGCGATGGTGATCACCGGTTTGGGCTGCAGGGGAAAACTGTTTATGGATTGCGTAGTAACCGTCAGCCACAGCAAGCTCAGCCTTGGTGCTTTTTAAAACTAAACTAAAACGCAGCTGATCTTGATTTCAGGGTGGCATGCATTCGATGGAGAATCAAGCAAAACAAAATAGAACAAGCAATGCAGGCCGAGATGACTATATATAGTTAATACTTGCAAACCACCTCAAATAGGTAGAAGAGTTTCAAGAGGGAGTTCTTTTATGTCATGGAATCATCTCCACCCTCCCCAGTCACACCACCCGAAGCCTTTGGCTTTTGCACACCTGGCGCCAAACCCGGAGAGCAGCTTATCCTCTTGACTGGATACACCAGTCAGCCGCTGGAGTGCACAAACTGCAAGTTTGTCAAAGTCAGCACGAGCTGAGTACAGGAATTTCTGGCAACAACATCAAACTCCGGCTTAATCTCCGGATTGTTTTCAGTATGCAATTGAATGTTGTTCTTAGTTTGGGCCCAACGTTTGAGCTGGCCCCCCTGGCATCTAAAAAGGCGCCGCGTCCGTCTGCGCCACGCAGGTCATCAACTTTGGCTGATGTCCTTGCCGCTTGCGATCGCATTGATCTGACGATGGTTCGCTACCTCCCGTCATCCTTATTTCCCCACAAATCAGGGGTCATCATGTATAATGAAGACTCTTCATTCATAAAACCTCCCCTTTTCGATGGTAAAAACCTTAGCACCTGGTGGGCTTGATTCATCCCAACTGACCTGGCCAATTCATTTCCACCGGTCGCTGGAGTAGAAGCTCAGCTCCGCTCTCGCGGCCCTTTGGGGCGGCCCTGACGGAGTTGGCCTTTGGAAAGACATGGGTTCATTGGTGACCTTGGTGACCCCGTCTGAGCGAATTTTGTGGGAAGGAGCTCCATGGATCACAGCAAGCATGTGACCTGTGATGGCACCAACCCAGGTGGAATCCTCGAAATAAAGCACCCAAACGAGAAAATGGACATGATCCGGATGCCTGACACATCTGAAAAAACAAACAAGCAACTGAGCATCCGACTTAATTTTTGTTCAGTCATAGAGGGCTATGGGTTGCCACCCATTGTAGAGGTAAATCAATGTATGTACATGCAATAAATAGTCTTCCTCAAAGACCTGATGCCATGTTACACTTGAGTGCTACACCTCCTACGCTCTCATGCTGAAACATGTCGCCTGCTTCTCAGGTGGAGAAGCACTAGCTGCTTGCTCAGAAGTTCTACCTGGTTGCTTCAAAACCCCACGAAGCAGCAGCTGTCCAAGGCCCGTTCCTGTCACCAGGCTTTCCGATGTTGAGGTCCACGGTGGAGGCGTTGGTTCCTGAGGCCCACCGAGCAAAAACAAGCGGTGTTCCTTGAGCAAGCACCGTGGTTGATCAGCCTGAGCTTGCTCATTCTCAAGCCGGACCCCATCGCGGTAGACCGAAAGCCAGGAGAACACATGGTAGTTGTTGAAGCTGATTAGAATAGAACCAATTGTGCCTTTCACACTGGATAAACGCACCAGATTGTCACAAGGATTGGAATTCCTGCTTCTAGGCGCCGAGTCTCAACACTATGAGGCACTGACAAAAGGGAAGTATGAAAAATGAATGAACGTCAGTAGCATCAGCCTATTTATCAGCCGGAGGGGCACGAACCACAGCAGCACGGGTTCAACTGGCTCACAAGGCCACGACCCACTAGTCTAGGATCGCTGCGAATAGAAACAACAACTCTAAGTTAGACAGTTTTAAAACACAGTTTCAACGGGAGTCCTTTTGCTGTTTATTGATGACGATGTCCGCACTCCAAATCAAGCACAAGGACAGAATCACAAAACAGTTTAAAACAGCATCTAAATATATGCAAATTGCATCTAAGGATGCCGTAAATTGGCCAACCAAATGGATTCCCTCGATCAAAGTGACCAATAACACCTCAAGATCTGCAAACAACCCCTGAACTGAACACGTGCTATCTATGAGGAGGAATCAGTGCAGGGAATAAAAGGTTATGGTAAGTTCTATCCATGCAGGCCAGTGACATGTTCGCGAAGTTGATGTCCAACAAGCGCCGCCTCATGATTGCTCCCAGCCCAGTCAGTAAGCAGATCGTAGGCACGCAGAAAAAGGCACATTAGCTCTGGATTCTGTCATGTCCAGTCAAGGTCTGCCTGAAAACACAAAAGCTTCAGTCAGTATTTTTACTGCTCTGCGCGTGCAAGCTCTCTTTTGTCTAGAGCTGGTGCACGGCGGTCCGGCTTCCTGTCAACCTCCTCCGGTCAACCCGCTGGGAAGCGAACATCATTAGCAGGAAATCCGGAAAGTCAAACATTTTGCTCGTGCTGTCGCAAATTTCAAACCTCAGCGGCGGTCAGCCGGGTTCTTATCTTTTTCTCGGAATCATGCAACCTTTTCCACACGTGAGTTTGTTCCAATAACTATCAATAACTATATATATAGAGAGAGATAGACTATAGAGATAGACCTGGTATAGCAAAGCAGTCCAAAGCTGAAGCACATCTCTGCCATTGGATCCCAGCCGTTTCTCGTGTTTTGAACGGTTAGCTGGGACATCGGAGCTTCAACCAAGGCACCACATCGCAGAGATGGCGTGGCTGTTCCTGTCCTCGAAACGGAGCCAGTCCGGGAAGGAATGGTCTGAAACTGTTCAGCTCTGAGCCTGCAAGCGCATGCATCTCATGCAACTATGAGGAAGCTTTGCTCTAAATAAGTTCGACACCCATTGACACGACATGAAAGAGATAGGGTAGATAAAAGCACCGAAAGAAAAAACATAACAAAACACATATTTGTATCACATGGTGCATTTTGTTGTCTATAGCTTTGCAGGCGGGTCCATGATGGTCCATGTCTGCAATGCTTTGCAGGGTAGCTCTGCCACCTAGGCTCTCCCATAGGACAAATCGGACTCATCATCTCCTGCGAGCATCAGGAGCATTCGAGCGACCACGGCGGGTGATGGTTCGATTGCTTTGGAAGAGTTTCAGTGGCAACAGGACACACATTTACAGTAGGATATCATAGAGTTCTCGGGTTTCCAGCTGCCCAAGATGTATACATTAACTCCCTTCGCCCTGCTACATCAAGCACTGGGGTTGTCCTATGCCTGTCCTTGAAGTCCTGTAGTGACATTCTGGCCTCGCCCTTCGTCACTTCCTCGGAAAGTCATGCAAGAGTTCCATTCAGAACCTCCCAAAAGTACAAATCCAATAGACCTCAGGAGAACCATGTCTGGCAGGGGGTCCCCTACTTAGAATCCAGATGTGATATATGATATATCTCAATCAATGTGGATGTCTTCATGCTAAAACACCCGGGTCTGCAGCGAGGCCTCTCCAGCTCCAAACAAGTGCAGGCTCATCATCTCTAAGCCAGGTTGGCGGAGAGACACGCCCCACCGGAACTGCACAGTGTGACTAGAACCGCCAAGGCGTAGCCCTTCACATACCATTTCCCAGAAGAAACAAAAAGGCAACAAACCTTTCACAATTTGACAGGATCTCCATATTCAGGTCAAATTAGCTTTATCATGCCCACCCTGACGGAAAAAACTCTGAGGACACGGCTAGGAAGATGGAACGAAATTCACCTAGGCTGTCCAAGACTCTAGGTCAGGGGTCTTGGAATAATTGATTTCCAACGTAACGATGTGTGATAAATCTGAAAGGAATCGACTTCGATTTGGTTTGGAAGCCAGTGTATCCAAGAACTTCAACCGCCTGGTAAAATGGTCATATTGGCCTCAACTGTGCTGGACTTTGTTGATTCCTTATCAACCCAATGGCGATGAACAATGCTGCGCACAGGAATGAAGCCATCTCCCCACTCGCTCCAAACAATCCATGGATTGAATAATATCAGTCTACATTGAGGCACTAAGGTCGTTGCACAGGTCAAGTCTTCTCTTGGAAATCTAGATGCGACATAAACATCATGAGCTTTCTTCGCTGCTCATTGAAAATAAGCCCATCCCCCCCGTTAGCTTCATGACATGTGGACCCTGGCACTTTCTAGTGCAACATGTGTTAAAAGTCGATGGCCATGTGATATGCCTCTTCTAGCTGCACCTTACCCTACTCCTACAGGCCTAGCGCGTCCTAGCCCCTGGCAATGGACAATGACCCTGTTCAACTTGTGGCCCAAAGGGGGGTGGCGAAAACCAGGCAAATAAACAACGCTGGGCTCTTTAGGCAGCAAAAGCCTGGCCGGGAATCGCAGCATGCCATGGCCAAGGGAAAAGGAGAGTGCCAACAGCGCCCCCCCAATACGACCCCAACACAGCCAACACGTGGCAACACACAACCACCCCAGCAACCGCCGCAGCAGCAACAGCCACAACAACAATAACTGTAACCAGCAGCGGCAGCGGCAGCAGCAGAAGCTTCCAAGCAGCAGCAGAAGCAGCAGCAGGAGTAGCTAGCAAGCGGCAGCACCAGCTACCAAGCAGCAGCAGCAGCAGGAGCAGCTACCAAGCAGCAGCAGCAGCTACCAAGCAGCAGCAGCAACAACAGCTACCAAGCAACAGCAGCAGCAGCTACCAAGCAGCAGCAGCAGCAGCAGCTACCAAGCAACAGCAGCAGCTACCAAGCAGCAGCAGCAGCAGCAGTAACAGCAGCAGCAGCTACCAAGCAGCAGCAGCAGCATCAGCAGCAGCTACCAAGCAGCAGCAGCAACAACAGCTACCAAGCAACAGCAGCATCAGCAGCAGCTACCAAGCAGCAGCAGCAGCAGCCAAGCAGCAGCAGCAGTAGCAGCAGCCAAGCAAGAGCAGCAGCAGCAGCAGCCAAGCAGCAGCAGCAGCAGCAGCAGCAGCAAATCAGCAGCAGCAGCAGCAAATGCAGCAGCAAAGGCAGCAGCAGCAGCAGAAAAGGCAGCAGCAGCAGCAAAGGCAGTAGCAGCAGCCAAGCAGCAGCAGCAACAGCCAAGCAGCAGCAGCAGCAGCAGCAGCAGCCACGCAGCAGCAAAGCAGCAGCAGCAGCAAAGCAGCAGCAGCAGCAGCAGCAGCAAATCAGCAGCAAAGCAGCAGCAGCAGCAGCAAATGCAGCAGCAAATGCAGCAGCAAAGCAGCAGCAAAGCAGCAGCAGCTACCAAGCAGCACCAGCAGCAAAGGCAGCAGCAGCAGCAAAGGCAGCAGCAGCAGCAGCAGCAGCAGCAGCAAAGGCAGCAACAGCAGCAAAGGCAGCAGCAGCAGCAGCAGCAGCAGCTACCAAGCAGCAGCAGCAGCAGCAGCAGGAGTAGCTAGCAAGCAGCAGCAGCAGCTACCAAGCAGCAGCAGCAGCAGCAACAACAGCCACCAAGCAACAGCAGCAGCAGCTACCAAGCAGCAGCAGCAGCAGCCAAGCAGCAGCAGCAGCAGTAGCAACAGCAGCAGCTACCAAGCAGCAGCAGCATCAGCAGCAGCAAATCAGCAGCAAAGCAGCAGCAGCAGCAGCAGCAGCAGCAGCTACCAAGCAGCAGCAGCATCAACAGCAGCTACCAAGCAGCAGCAGCAAAGGCAGCAGCAGCAGCAGCAAAGCAGCAGCTACCAAGCAGCAGCAGCAGCAGCAAAGGCAGCAGCAGCAGCAGCAGCTACCAAGCAGCAGCAGCATCAACAGCAGCTACCAAGCAGCAGCAGCAGCAGCTACGAAGCAGCAGCAGCAGCAGCAACAGCAGCTACCAAGCAGCAGCAGCAGCAGGAGCAGCTACCAAGCAGCAGCAGCATCAACAGCAGCTACCAAGCAGCAGCAGCATCAACAGCAGCTACCAAGCAGCAGCAGCAGCAGCAGGAGCAGCTACCAAGCAGCAGCAGCAGCAGCAGCTACCAAGCAGCAGCAGCATCAACAGCAGCTACCAAGCAGCAGCAGCAGCAGCAGCAGCAGCAGCAGCTACTAAGCAGCAGCAGCAGCTACCAAGCAGCACCACCAGCTACCAAGCAGTAGCAGCAGCAGCAGCAGGGAAAGAGTGAGCTTTCCTTAGAGTCTTTCGTGCCCCAACATTCGGTCTCGAACAATAGCACATATAGGTGCTGCCTGAGTAATTGTAGAAGGGCGACGTGGAAAGACAGATGTATCTGATATATCGTTTTTTTAAACATAGATGCTGACGATGCAGCCAGCAGCGGTGTGCATGATTGACATCTAGGGGTTGTATGCGAACATGTGTCAGCGACCGAAGACTCTTGTGCATGCTCCCTGTCGCTCGAACATGGAACGCGGACTACCATGAGTGAAGCAAACAGCCCGTTCAAACATCTTACTGGGTTCTGTAATTCATGTGTGAAGTAAGTATCATCTTTTGATCTGCATGGATAGCGGATAGTGCATTCTGATTTGTACTCTTGGGTTGTGGGGTGGGTACATGCCTGTACAAGCTTCTTAAGGATATAATGAAATTAGCATCGTTTCACGACTCAGAGGGAATGCAACTACTCTCGATTCTAACGAATTGGCTGTCTTCAGCACCAACAGCAGCCAACAACCCCAAACAGCAACAGCAGCAAAACGGAGCAGACAACAAGCAGCAGGCAGCCATGCAAGCAGCAAGCAGCAGCAACCAGCAAGCAGCCAAGAGCATCCAGCAGCACCAAGCAGCAAGCAGCAAGCAGCAGCAACCAGCAGCAGCAGCAGCATCAACAGCAGCTACCAAGCAGCAGCAGCAAAGGCAGCAGCAGCTACCAAGCAGCAGCAGCAGCAGCAAAGGCAGCAGCAGCAGCAGCAGCAGCAGCAGCTACCAAGCAGCAGCAGCAGCAGCAGCTACCAAGCAGCAGCAGCTACCAACCAGCAGCAGCTACCAACCAGCAGCAGCAGCAGCAGCAGCTACCAAGCAGCAGCATCAACAGCAGCTACCAAGGAGCAGCAGCAGCAGCTACGAAGCAGCAGCAGCAGCATCAACAGCAGCTACCAAGCAGCAGCAGCAGCAGCAGGAGCAGCTACCAAGCAGCAGCAGCATCAACAGCAGCTACCAAGCAGCAGCAGCATCAACAGCAGCTACCAAGCAGCAGCAGCAGCAGCCGGAGCAGCTACCAAGCAGCAGCAGCATCAACAGCAGCTACCAAGCACCAGCAGCAGCAGCAGCTACTAAGCAGCAGCAGCAGCAGCTACCAAGCAGCACCACCAGCTACCAAGCAGTAGCAGCAGCAGCAGCAGGGAAAGAGTGAGCTTTCCTTAGAGTCTTTCGTGCCCCAACATTTGGTCTCGAACAATAGCACATATAGGTGCTGCCTGAGTAATTGTAGAAGGGCGACGTGGAAAGACAGATGTATCTGATATATCGTTCTTTTCACGAATAGATGCTGACGATGCAGCCAGCAGCGGTGTGCATGATTGACATCTAGGGGTTGTATGCGAACATGTGTCAGCGACCGAAGACTCTTGTGCATGCTCCCTGTCGCTCGAACATGGAACGCGGACTACCATGAGTGAAGCAAACAGCCCGTTCAAACATCTTACTGGGTTCTGTCATTCATGTGTGAAGTAAGTATCATCTTTTGATCTGCATGGATAGCGGATAGTACATTCTGATTTGTACTCTTGGGTTGTGGGGTGGGTACATGCCTGTACAAGCTTCTTAAGGATATAATGAAATTAGCATCGTTTCACGACTCAGAGGGAATGCAACTACTCTCGGTTCTAACGAATTGGCTGTCTTCAGCACCAACAGCAGCCAACAACCCCAAACAGCAACAGCAGCAAAACGGAGCAGACAACAAGCAGCAGGCAGCCATCCAAGCAGCAAGCAGCAGCAACCAGCAAGCAGCCAAGAGCATCCAGCAGCACCAAGCATGCAAGCAGCAAGCAGCAGCAACCAGCAAGCAGCAGCACAGCAACCAGCAAGCAGCCAAGAGCCAGGCGCAGATGAGATGCCAGCAGCAGCAGCAGCGACCAAGCAACAGCAGCAGGTACCGAGGAGGAGAGGAGAAGGGTGGAGTTGAACCCTGCGAGGGGGGGGGGGGGTCTAGTCCTGATATATCAGGTAATAGCACTCAGGTCCTCAGCTCCCACCCTCCTTGCTAAAGCAAGACAAACTCCAGCTAGCTACAGCTAGCTTTCGTGACAAGCATTGCAAAGCGCTCACCGCCGCTGGCGTACAGAAACGGGGCGTTGCACAGTCGAAAAGAATGCAGAGTTTCCAACAAAGTACTAGCCTTGAAGATCTTGCACGCCATGAGGCTCACTTCGTTGCTGGTGAACTGTGTCTGGTCAATCACCTGACGCTCCTGCGAGGAACGTGTGAACACACCTCCAAGAAAGGATGGCCCGAGCAGCACAGGAGCTCAATAGTCTTTGATAGTTGATATCCTCGTCTTTGTTCGCTTGGAAAAGGGTCAAACATCGCATGTGGGTGGCCAGTTGTTTGACTGCGCCACTGTCAACAGTAGCAAAATAGTGATTGCAACCAGCTCAAGGCCCAAACCATAATTTTTCTGGATTGCTATGTGCCGAGGACCTGGGGAATGCGTCATCCAAAACAGCAACAGGGATATTGTGAAAGAAACATGCGCGTTGAAATCACCGCCTATACCTCAGCTTGTGAGCAGGAACAGTGTCAGTTGGGGAGCGGCATGGACAAGTGACATCTGATTTGGCTGAACCGGTCGCCATTCACCCAACTGCAGGGGTCTCGGCTCCTTCTGGAGCTGGGTGAGATCGCCCAGGTCCTCCACGGTACGCATGAGTTGCCTCAATCCGCAAATGGCCAAGTGAAATAGACAACATGAATGAACACATCTAGATAGGCTAAGAACTAAGAACAGTTTTGCACACGTGAGAATCATTTGGAAATCACCTGGTGGGAGTTGGAGGCCACATTTGGCATCAGTCGTTGGAGCTTGGAAGCTTCGGCATATTCCCTTTCAGCTCGCGTGGAGCCTAGAAAAAACATTCCATCCCAAGAATCGAGCAACTGAAGTTCGGGCCTTTGCTTGTGGCCAACCCCCTGGCATCTGGATTCTGAGAACTCTTAAGAATTGTCGAGAGCGCTCCATCCAAAAGAATTGGGCCCCCCAAGACCCCGCTGACGAAAAAGAGTTAAACTCTATGACCTAATGGGCCAGGCCGTCTCCATCCCATTTATATACAATCCCAACACAATGTATGCAGGAATTTCAGCAAATGTTCCTCTTCACCCGATTTCGGCCATGAACACCTGCGACCGGGGAGGGAAAAAAAAAACAGTATAGAATCTCCAGGGTGCAAGAACTCGGAGAAGTCCAATCTGCCGTTGTCTTAGCGGCGGCCAAACACGGCAGTGGCGAAGAAATCTCAAGTCGAATAGAAACGAATCCGAAAGTGCGTTCATTAGACACGGCTCTGACGTGCATCGGACACATCAAATTCCAACGAATCTAACCCCAGCGACCGCAAGGCTACCCACTGTCTCCTTGGGCGCGGGCTATCTGCGTCTGCATCCTTCATGATCTGCAAGAGTAACCTCATGGAAAAGCCATGGGTCCCAAGACCAAGCAGAAAATTGCTTGGACAAACAAATAAACAAATAGATTGAAGGACCGATAGGTCCCATGATATGATCCCATGATATGATTCATATATGATACATGATGAAAATCATTGAAGGATCCCCGCAGGTACCTGCCAGGCTCGGTCTGCCCCAGGTGAACCTCCCTCTTCAGTTTGGAACGGATGATGGTCTCCGCGTCTGTCTGCCGATGTGATGTCATACCGTTCTCATCCCCACCTCCCCCAACCTGCTGAAAAAACTGCCAAGAAGTGCCGACCCACTTAGCCAAGTGGACGGTCTCTTCTCCGGATCATGGGCCATGTCGGGAAAAACGTCCACAATCAGCTGGACCAATTCCTGCCGGCAGGGGAACGGCCGTCAACGCGTTCGTTTAACCGCCCGTGCACCGCGCCGAGGTCCACGGCCCGCCTTGCATCCGTGCATGACGGTTGTATGGCATGGTTGGAACTGGCCTGAAGTTCAAGATGCTTTGGGCCCTGTGACTGCTGCAATCATAATATGTCAAACGTATTGAATGCAGAAATGGCAGAAATTGCCTTGGAAAATCTATCTAAAAACCATGAGCAGCATCTGACAAGGTCAGAATGACCAGAATGACAAGGTGAATGACCTTGCCCTTACAAGTCTCCACCTGCTCATACGTTAACGCCCCGCGGATCCTTCTTGCTCACATCACCACCTCAAAGGGCACGGTGCAGCCAAATCAATGTGTATCGCAGTTGTCACTTCACATTCGCAGACCCAAATAACAAAAAAACTACAATAACGTAAATATCTATCCCCTATCCTTTTGCTGTTTATACCCTTTTTGTTACAATATTGGAAGCTATGCATTGTGAACTTCCAAAACCCGCCAGAATGTGGTGCCGGGGTGCTGCTGTCCCAGTCATAGCTGATGAACTGGCGCCGGAGCTGGTCCTGCGGCAGCCGTCGATCTCCACGTCACTTTTTGTATTCCAAAAGCCAGGTCGTGGAGAGACCGGAAGCAGGGTCACCATGGAGAGGCCAAAAAAGGCCATAGTGTTTTCAGAAATTTTGCACATCTGCTCTTGGCAGGGTTCGGTCCTCAGGTGTACATAAATCCCATTGTTTCACGACCTGTTACGACACGTGACAAGGGCACGAAACCTAGATTTCTGTTAGCTCAAAAAAGTTCAAACAAACTTGGTCTTGTTTTTGGGGTGCGAGTCCTGTGCGGCCTGTGCGCCTGTTTCCAAGGGCGGGGCACCTGTGCAGCAAAGCAACGTTCTTCGCACAAGTTCTGCCATTTCCTTACCGATGGGTTTTGACACGAGTGATGTCCACCTGGCCCATTCACTTGCTGAAATCACTTGAGAAAATTCCTTCCTGACACCTGCCCGGGCTTATTTTCTTACTAAAGTTCCACAGGGTTCGCTGGTTCTTCCCACCCGTTTGATCTACTGTAAGCACACCAAACGCCCAAGTCCCGGTTCAACGACCCCACGCCCAGCCATGCCCAGTCCATCTGATCGAAGGTATATCCACCCGACTCAATGAGCTGCTTCCGCACTTGCTCATCGTAGTGTTGGACGCACCTGACGTGCAGCTCCGCAGGGTGTGACTGGCGGGTGGTTTTTCTTTAGGTTGAATGACAAACAAATAGACCGACCGGACAGGACAGGACAGGAGAAAGAAACAAGCAGAATCCCGTAGAATCAGTCAAGTCAAGACAAACTGTTCGTTCCCGTAGGTGATCGTTCAAGATGCCACAGCAAAACTCAAGGTGTTCCTCCGGGGAGGAGGTTGAGGGTTGAACGGCAAGAACAGTCATGGGGAGATCTCTCAAGAAGTTGCAAGCGCCATCAACAACTTTGATCTTAAGACTTTACTTTCTGGAAAGTGTTGTTCCCGCGTCACCAGCTCAAAAAGAAGAAACCAACTTACTCGCTGCTCGTCTGGGCCGCTCTTCGCCTGCGGTAGGTATCTCCATGAAAACCAGCCCGCACAAGTCCGTATGCCCAAGCAGCAATGCAGCATGAAAGACAAATTTCACACTGGGAAATCCAGTCCAAACAAGAAGAGTCCAGTGAGTCCAGTGGCTTCCGGTCGCTCCATGTGGCTCCAAAATTTCCACCGCGCCTAAGGTCCAAATCTTCAGTCCTGGGGTCCTGCTCAATGAGGTTCCTTCATTTCTAGCCCTCATGCTCCGGTCTGCAGGGTCCGGGCAGCACTCCAAGGACACGTTGGGTCGAAGTTGCCAGCCCCACTTGAAATTGTTCGGTGCCCCAGGCACATGGATATCCACACTCTTGAAATCACTGTCTTCCACCTGAACAGTGACTCAGTGTTCTGCCCTTTTCGCGGCTTGAGACTGAACCCCCATGCCTTGTGAAGGCTGCGTGGGAGATGAATCCTGAGCCATGTCCGCTGGTCCCATTCACTCTGCCTTATTCCACCGGTTTCTTCCAAAAAGGTGAAAGGAAGGCTTTATCCAGCGTGTTGATCAAGACGCCACGGGACTCGAGTGTGCGCTATGTAAAGGCTTTATCCACTGACCGCGGGTAGGACATGGTCCGCCTTCAAACATCCACAGGGACTGACCGGACGAGCCAGGCTGGAGCCTCCGGAAAGCTTTGGTGGAGGGTGTCGTTTGGATGAGTCGGCCTTTCACCACCAACTGGCGGAAAAGGGCCACTGTCCAAAAGCACATCTGGCTTGCAAGCCAGTGTCTTGGAGTTGTTTGATTGGAATTCTGGAGCATCTGACGCCAGAATTTGACAAGGACTAGTGCCTTTTGTGGTTTATCATGGTTTGGCTGCTTGACCTACATTCATCATCATTCATCTATATACAGTTGAGCGCCCAAAATGATGCAGTGACGCCCAAAATGCATCGATGGCGTACAACTCAGCAGGTGGTTTGCCAGGAAGGTTGAACACCTGGTCTCAACCTAAGCAGAAATGGCGCGACCCTGAAAAGCAAGCTCTGCAGGAAAACTGAATGTATGGAGGCGTGGTTCCCCTCTTTCCCGGCGTTGGCCCTGCATATTCTCATAAATATTATCACAAGATATCAAAAGGAACTCTGACAGTCCCTAGATTGACCGATGGCCTCCGAAAAAAACTAACCTCCCTTGCTTGCAACAAAGATTCCATCACGGAAGTCATCCAGGACTTCCGCTGGCAAAGCCGTAAGATCTTCCCTGGCTGCGGAAACCTACCGACGACATCCACTGACTGGGTGGGGAAAGCAGCCAAAGCCCTCCAACGCTCTCGTTGCTTGGGTTCCCAACTCTTAAAAGTGCTGAAAGCAGTTGTTCAGAAGAGGACTCTTCACGGCCCTCACGGCAACTTCAAGGCATTCTCAGGCACATTAAACAAAAGAAACCGCGCCTTCTATGTTCCTTGAAGGGAAAATTAGATTTCTTATAGGATTGTGTAGGAATATTGAGGAATGTTAACCATTTAGGATTTCTTAGGATTGCCTGGTGCTTCTCGGGGTACGCAAAAGCCTTTGCTATGGCAGTCTGGTGCTATTGAAAGGGAAGTTTCTGGATTGAACTCTCTTATAAGTGTTAAAAGGCTTGTTTAAAGAGTTTGCAGGGCTTCGTTTAGATTCTGACGGGATTCCTTCAGGATCTCCTAGGAGCTACTAGTAGCGTCCGATCGCTCCTAGTAGCGATGCCCTTTGTTCCCAGTAGCTTCTTGTTCCTAGTAGTAAGGCCAGGAGCCCCTAGTAGCGTCCTTGCTCCTAGTAGCGATGCGCTTTGTAGTAGCTTCTTGTTCCTAGTAGTAAGGCCAGGAGCCCCTAGTAGCGTCCTTGCTCCTAGTAGCGATGGGGTGGGATTTTGACTGATGAAGAATCATCATGTGAAGGGTCATGACCGGAACGTCTGCCAGCAATCCACCATCTACTCCCCCGAAATCTCTGTCAAGTCACTGAAAAAGCACAGAAGCTCCGAAGAGAACTGCGCTCAACATGCACATTTAATACCGCCTCCCCTGACCACGAAAGCAGAATACTCAAGCGCTGTCAAAGCTCAAAACCCATGATCCGCCGGCATTTTGTTAACACGCAATCAATCAAGCAGCCTCAAAAATGCAAGAGGCCAAACCCAAAGCAGTTGACCTTTGCGCTTTCAACAAACGACCTAGGTCGACTCCGGTGTCTGCGTCAAATTCACACTTACCGTTGACAGTGAATCTCGCTACACGGCCGGCCGGATCAGCCCGCAGCCCCTTCAGGTGTCTGGGGGTGGAGATGTCTACCTGCACTTGGCCATCCTGATGATGAACGCGATGAACTTTCCAGCTGCCGCCGAGAAGGAAGGAAGCCTCCCTGGACAAGTCCGAAAAGCCTGGATGTTGGCCACGATCTTCGAGCTGCGAGAGCATGGCAGCAGTTGACACGCACACCACGCTGTCGCTGCAAAGCACCAGGGAGGCGCAGCCAGGGCGTGATGGGAGATCGCTTGGGGCTATGAAGTCGACTTCCTCCTTGTCGCGATTCCAATGTAGGAGGTGTAGCACCTTATGTTGACAGAACCATGTCAAAAAACATGGGGGGTCTTGGCTTTGTGGTTTACCTCTCACCGGTCCGGATTTCCAGAAACCCAAAGTAACGACGAACGATTGGAAACGCCAGCTCCATGCAGACATGCACAGTGGTCAAACGGCAAGTGAGCTCACCTGAGTCTGGCACTGATGTTGGGTTTCCCTTCAACGCCTTGCCGATGTCAGGCTGACATTCGGTCACTGCCACCGCCAAGGCGGCATCAGGCGTCCGGTTGGCCAAGAACATGTCCACCATGACGTGAAGCCGGAAGCATCTCCCACCGCGGAACAATTTGAGCTCCTCCGCACACCAGGGATAGTCTGTTTCGAAGGCCTCTGCCAAGCTACCCACAAGCGCGGCTGCGGTCACTGCTGTGGAAGCTGACACACCACACTTTCCATAAGGCCTGCTCAGACTGCACATCTGTTTCACAACTCCTGCTGCAGACAATGATCGCTGCACAGTGGGCGCTGTGGGCTCACAAAGAGTCCATGTAGTGCAAAGCGTGCCAACACTGTCAACCTGCTCCTCACGGAGCTGCATGGAAGCTAGGTCTTCGAAGTTGCAAAGCTCCGTTCCAAAGCACTCCTTGAAGAAGTTCTTGCGTTCCCCTTCATCTGCGAGTTCATGCTTCCGCTGCATGGACTGCACCCGAATCGTGTCCCCCAGCCTGGCACCCAAGACCAGCACGTTCGGCAAGCCGACGTAGTCTGCCATGTTGGAGGTATCAACCACAGCAGCTCGTTGGGCACGGACCTCGAAGGCATCTCCACCCTGCAGGTGGATGCAAAGCCGGCCCGAAGACAAGGCCGCCTTGCAGTGAACCGAAAGCTTCTCCAGGTGCTGGAGCAAGCTGGCCTTCAGCTGCCCTGGCTTTGCTATCAAAGGCCCCACTGCCCGGTAGATGGAGGATGAAAAGTAAAGGCTTGAGCGCAGGGAGCGCCCTTCAAGCAAGGTCACATTTGCTTCGGTAGGGCTTGGATGGAGAGCCAGATCCTGGCAACAAAAATGGCAAGCTTAAGAATGAAACATGGAAGTGGACAACCTCTTGCATTGTTTGTAATGGAATTATTGTTGGAGGGAGGGTACCATGTGGCAAAAGAGATCATTTGACTTGGATTCGGAGCACCAAATTCCAAGACGTCTGCCTACCCGTCCTCCAAATAGCGCTGGACCTCGGGCCGATGCTCATCTCCCACTGCCAAGCATGTGAGCCGCACCGCCTCCTGGGTCAGCGAGGCCCCGCGCCGCAGCAGCGACCGTATCGCCTCGGCGCGCAAGGTCGCCTCCTTCCAAGCCTGGACGATGTCATCCCACTGCGGCACCTCACGGCGCCCGAGCCAGGGAAGATCTGCCTGGAGGGCAGCGCCCAGCGCCTCCTTGGCCTCCAGGCTAATTTGGGCGGCACCCCAGCATTCCGCCAGGATCAAGGCAGAAACACCTGCAGCGATCAAGCTCAACAGCATGGCATCTCGAATCAACAATGAGCTGGAGGCGTCATTCAGCACAAGCTCTAGGCGACCTGGGCGCCCACCTTGCCACCAGCCACTGATCGTTTCCAGTACATTGCGAATGTCTCCACAACCGAGAAAGGTGACACGGAGACAGTCCTGGTCATTCTGTGTAAGCTGCTTGCCGAGAACATCCACTCCGAAAGTATTGCCCAGGGCATAGTAGCCAGGCTCAAGGCTCAATAGCGGCTGTCGTGCAGGGTTGACCAACTGAGCCTGGGACTCCCCGCGCATTTCTGGCAACCGGGAAGCAAGGCCACAAAGGGCAAGTTCCTCCTCCAAGTCTTGCACCCTGGGAAGCTCTGCCGTGGATGGCAGTTTCCTCTGGCTCACTACGCGGGCTGGTTTGCTCCACATGTCCACGCCCAGCCGAGATGGTTCCATCGACTCAATGATATCTGACTGATTCCGGCAAAAGCTGCATCGGTGAATCAAGGCATCTCCATCGAAGTTGAAGTCTACAAAGACACCCACAGTACTTTCGGCGAAGGAGCAGCAATCCATAATGGATGTTGCTCCTCCTCTAATGTGCACCGCAGCGCCCGCGCCACACTTGGGCATATTCTCCTGAGCAAAAAAAAATCGGGTGTCTTAGGTTAGTGCAGGAATAGGAGGTCAGTGGCACGGAGTCGGGGTTGGGAAACGCAAAAAGCATCGCACTACCACTTTCGGGGCCAGTTGAAACACGGCTGGAGCTGGTTTCTCTAGGCAAACGGATGATTGCTCATCACTTAATCCGCCGACCCCGGCCTAGCCGATGATAGGCGGGGCGGCGCCTGGAACACCGCAGGGTGGAAGCCGTTGGCAGTGGATGTGCCTTGCCGGGAGCCTTGGGCGTGAGTCTTTCCGGCCATGGGCCGTTGGCTACGCTCGGCCAGCACTGGGCTTCCGAAGCCTGGGGATTTGGCGTGGTCTGCGGGCTCCCCTCCGACCATGCCCGCTTGCTACGCTCGGCCAGCACCTCTACTTAATGGCGTAGAGAGAGACAGGGCAGCTCAGCCAGCACCTCTACTTATGGGCTTCCGAAGGTGACGTTAGGCAGTCTGGCTCGTCGCGGCGCGCTTATTTTGATGATGGAAAAACGTGGCGGAGCAGATTGCCGGGAACCTTGGGAGTGAGTCTCTGGAGCTGTCTGTGGAGGAGCCGGGAGTGAGTCTTTGGAGCTGTCTGAAATGTTGAGGCTTCAGTTCGTTAGTCTGTGACATATGGGGGGGACTTCCGCCCACCGGCGCTGCCGGAGGATTGCCTTGTATTTCTATTCTTTGTCAGTCCGGTAGAAAGGAAAACATATGAAAGCGATGACCTTCGATAAATCTTTCGCGGAAAAAAGATACTTTCGCGAACCTCATCACAAATCTTTCGCGGATGGTTCTAACGACATCTGACAGGCTGTTTTATGTAAAACTCCTTACACGGGGTTTTCGATCCTGGCACCAAAAAGAGGGGTCGGCGGCACCAGAGCGTTAGCCCCAGTTACTTATTCCGGCCAGGGGCCTGTCACCGGGCCCGGCACTGGCCGTGTCCTCCCGAAGGGTTCTCTCCTCTCCGAAGAAGAGCGGTTCCGCCCAGGGGGTTAGACCTACGTCGCTGCCTACGTCTCTGTGCTTTACAGTGGTTCTGCGTGTGACGTTCAAACTATATAGACGACGGTTGGCCCGAGAGCGAGACATGTGATTGTCCATCACTGTCGAAAAGATATATAGAAAGAGAGAAAGAGAGGGTGGACGTGAAGGAGTGACAGTGTGGATGTGCAGGTGCGATATAGATGTGCATATGTGTGGAGGTGGAGAGGTATAGATCTGCAGATGTGAGCGTGTCAAGATGTAAATCTACGCAGGTCAGAAAAAGGACATGTAGAAAGAAAGAAAGAAAGAGAGGGCGGATGTGAAGGAGTGACAGTGTGGATGTACAGATGTGATATAGATGTGCAGATGTGTGGGTGTGTGGAGGTAGAGTGGTACGTCTGCGGATGTGAGCGTGTGACGATGTAAATGTACAGCGCACACTAGAAGCAGAAAGAGAGAAAGAGAGGGCGGATGTGAAGGAGTGACAGTGTGGATGTGCAGGTGCGATATAGATGCGCAGATGTGTGGAGGTGGAGAGGTAGGCCTCCAGATGTGAGCGTGTCAAGCTACTCTTGTGGGACACTCTATCTGGGACACTCTTGTGGGACACTTTGTGGGTCACTCTTGTATAGGAAGCTCTTGAGGGGCACTCTTACTCCTGCAAGTAGTTCCCGGGCAAGCCGGCGGCGGAAGTTTCCAAAAGTAAACCTATAGGAAATGGGCATGTGGCAGGCTGATTGGCCGAGCTGCGATGTTCTTTGGCAAAACAAGTTGGAACCGACCAACGGAGCGAAAGCGAAGCAACCGCCGTCAACTGTCTCGCTCCACTAAAGCCAGAGCATAGCTCTAGCTCTAGCTCCACTAAAGCTAACTCTTGGAGCTAGACGTTAACTATGATGTGATAGCTTGTCTAGACACGAAGCTAATTAGCTCAAATTTGTCAACCTCTCAAAACACATGTTTTGAGGTCTCCAGAAAGTAATCGAAATGACCACTTTTGAGTAAGCAAAGTCGCTAAATTTTGTCAACCTCTCAAGAGAGCCGGGTGGTCGGGAGACATGACTCAGCTGCAGGGGCGCCAGAGCAGCCGCGAGAGATGACTCAGCCGCGTACTAAAGTTGTACTACAAAGTCGCCAGTTCTCAGCTTCCAGCTCCCCAGATTGCTCCGCGTACTAAAGTTGTACTACAAAGTCGCCAGTTCTCAGCTTCCAGCTCCACAGATTGCTCCGCGTACTAAAGTTGTACTAGAAAGTGGCCAGTTCCCATCTTCCAGCTCCCCAGATACTCCGCGCACTAAAGTTGCACTACAAAGTCGCCAGTTCTCAGCTTCCAGCTCCACAGATTGCTCCGCGTACAAGTTGTACTACAAAGTCGCCAGTTCTCAGCTTCCAGCTCTGCAGATACTCCGCGTCCTAAAGTTACAAAGTCGCCAGTTCTCAGCTTCCAGCTCCACAGATGCTGTGCCTGCCAAGAAATCTGCACATGGAGGTTCACAAAGTGCTGTGCCTGCCACGAAATCTGCGCATCGAGGTTCTCAAAGTGCTGTGCCTGCCACGAGCTCTGCACATGGAGGTTCTGAGGTTCACAAAGTGCTGTGCCTGCCACGAAATCTCGCCTGTATTTCGCGCCCTTGACATGCACGATCTCCGCAGAGGGTTGCGCCGGACCGGGCCAAAACGCACTCTCGCCTGTATTTCGCTGAGGGTTGCGCCGGACCGGGTCAAAACGCACTCTCGCCTGCATTTCGCGCCCTCGACACGCGCGATCTCTGCAGAGGGTTGCCCGTGCCAAATCCAAAACGCACTCTCGCCTGCATTTCGCGCCCTCGACACGCATGCTCCGGCGGCACCGCCCCCGGCCTTAAGAGAGGAAGTAAAGAAGAGCGAGAGGTGAAGATGTGAGATGTAGATGTGAGGATGTGAAGATGAGCAGAGATGTAGATGTGCAGATGTGAACATGAGCAGAGATGTAGATGCGTGAAGATGAAGATGCGCAGATGTGAATGTAGATGTGAAGATGAGCAGAGATATACGTGAGAATGTAGATGTGATGTAGATGTGAGGATGTGAAGATGAGCAGAGATGTAGATGTGCAGATGTGAATGTAGATGTGAAGATGAGCAGAGATATAGGTGAGAATGTTGGCAAATGTAGTTCTGCAGATGTTTTTTTACGAAGAACCCTTCGCAGGCGCTCTCGGGAAAAACATTGTGTTTTACAGGGCTTTGTGCGCGTGGAAAATCACAAGTTTTTTCATGATGGCGAAAAGCAAAAACTGTAGGTTTTACAAGGGTGGTGTCGGCAATGCGCGCCGCGCGGACGCGCATAATCGGAAGTTTTGGGCGATGGGCCCGTGTCAACATAAATTGCGCAAAATGTGCCCGAAGATGATCCAACAGAGGTCCCCAAGATGACCCAACATAGGCCCAAGATGGGCCGCCGTAGGCCCAAGATGGGCTCAACATAGGCCCAAGAGGCCCACGTCGACGACGACGATGACGACGACGACGACGACAAGAATCAACAACAACAACAACAACAACAACAACAACAACCACAACCACAACCGCAACAGCCACAACCACAACCACAACAACAACCACAACAACCACAACCACAACAACAACAACAACAACCACCACCAGTGGTGGGCCCCTGGCCATGTTTCCATCCTGAAAGTATCCATGTCTCTGACTCTTTACGCTTATATCAGTTGTATAGCTATACGTAGGTTTTATAGCAAGACATAGCAAGACTAAGACCCCTTGTTAAGTTGCTTGGGGACCGTCGTTCGATGTTTCGGGGGAATTAGCGCAGAAGAAGTGTTTTGACCCTTGCGGGCCTCTGAAGAATTGGTTTTTTTTCCAGCCATACCTCGCGCCGACCTGGTCCGGACGGGCTTATTGCAAGGCGTTGGCACAGCCAAAGAACGGTAATTAAAAATCTCTGTTCAATGCGGCTGCATATATTCTTGCATCATCGGTGTTTTCATCGAAATTATGATGTCTCAAAACGATTTCGTAGGCAAATTTCTTTGTGATATGCAGCCAGTTTTGCCTCGGTTTCCCAACTCGTTTGGTGCCGTAATCAACTCTGGATGCAGTGCTATCAACGAATGATACTTGTCTCATGGGGTCATCATTACTGCTTCTAATTATATGCCCAAGTAATTTACATCTTCTGTTCATATGGTAATCACTGAAACGTATAATTTGTCTGTTATCGCCCCGAGTTGGGAAGGCAATGGCAGTTGCTTCCTCAAGAATCTTTTGATTCGTACATGACCGATCTATGAAAGTAGGCGGTCTTTTGAGAATCTTTCTCAAGCTTCTTAATTGGAAAGCATCTAGTGATTTGCTTAGCGCCTGGGTTAAATGTATAGTTTCCAACCCATATAAAAGCTTACTCCGGATTATGGCATCAAAAATGATTAGCTTCCACTTTTTGCTGGCTCCAGAAGCTTTCGAATAGGCGCTGAGCTTGAACCAGGTCCTTCTGACCTCTGACATTTTATTGAGGATTTCATGTTTTATATTTACTGTCCTGTTTATCTCATTTCCAAGATACATGGCCTCAAATTCTTTGTTCAAAGGGGTCCCGTCATGAAAATGAATACAACCGTCGTTGTTCATAGTGTTAGCAACACATTTGTTTTTATTGAGACCAAGTCCGTATCCACTGGAGATTTTCTCTGTCAATTTCAGCAATTCGTTTAATGCTCGGTTGTTCCGTGAGAAAAGTACAGTGTCATCTGCATAATAGATCATGTCAAAATTAACCCCTGGGATTCGATTATTTGTCACATAAGCGGAAATACTTTGTTGAATGTCAATGTCGATGCAGGTCATGACTAATACAAATAGGAAAGGTGACAATGGGCAACCTTGTCGGATCCCAGAGGATTGAACTTTAAAATCGGAACAACCGAATTCGTCCTTGACATAAAACTGAGGCTTTGCATAACAGTCTGCGATGACTTCTGTATACTGCGAATTGAAACCCAGT